CTTTCATAGTTGGCTTTCTGATCCTAGAAGGACTGTATGGATTGCAAGTATATCCTCAATACATCAAAGCCTTTCCTCCCCTCAGTAAAAATGGTCAATGATCTTCAACGCATTTAATAAACAGAAAAAGAGGAAAAATATTGAATTATTTTCTGCCACCTGTGTTGCACAAGTATTTCCATTTCAAATTATGAGATATCCAGCTTTTTTTTTTATGTTTTTTTTTTTTTTTTTTTACAGCTATTATAGATTAATCAGAATTGGCCAAAGCTGATGCTGGCAGGGAAAAGCTTTATGAAAAAAGGAAAAAAAGAATTCAACCACAGACTTCAGATCAGTGTATTTAACAGGAAGTTGAGCTGTTTTAAAGTTACTCTACTAGTCAGAGGTTAAGAGTTCAGTGAAAGTACAGATACAGACCTTGACAGTTAATGAGGCTGAAGCACAAATTGACCAATAGAGGTTTTTTAAGGCTGATCCCAATTATTCTGAGATCAGTCCAAATGATCCCCCCAAATATGTGACGCTGTTTTTTGGAGGGACTGATTCTTGAAGTTATATCATTCTCAATCTCAAAGCGTCACATATTGGTGCTTGGTCAAAGTCCCATGTGCATCATATACTGAGGTGCAGGGGGTAGCAGACAGTGTATAACGGGAGCTACAAAGTCACTTTGGTAGCTTTAGAAGCGTATTGTAACATGTATACTACTATTTCTTTAGGTTTAGGGTAAGGGGAGGGTTAGTGGTATGTTTTGGGTTTTTTTTCACAGCTCATGGAAAAAATTTGGGAAGTTGCTGCTACAGCCTGCCATGAACCCTGTGCATCAGTTAGGGGTATCCCCATCGCATCAGTATCTGGGGACTTGACCAAACGTCAACATGTGAAGAGATGGAAGTGAGAATGAGTTGGATAGAAATTTCAGATTGATAATAAATGCAAACTCAATTTAATCAAAAATGGAACATTTATTAAGAAATTAAACAAAAGATTAACAGCGTTTAGCAAACAGAGGAAGTGGGAATGCGTGCCCTTCAAGTGGTCTAAAGGCAGGGCTGTTGAACGCATTAATGAATTCCGATAAAAGAAAAAAGCCAAAAATATCAGCTGGTCTTTGCCTCCTGACTTTGGCTAAAACTTTTCTTTTCACATATTTATTGCTAATATATCGATCTAGTCAGTTTGATCTCTGTTTTGTTGTGATATGCAAACTGCAGTAATAAAACAATATTAGCAATAAGGAGTAAACCACCTGAACAAAATCATTTCATTTTTTAACTCAATAACAGCAGGTGTTTTTCAATTAATAGAACTGATTGATTTGTTTATTGATCTTCCATCAGCTATTATATACTCTGTTCTTCCTGTGGTCAAGAACGCCATTGATCATAACTGCTTCATTAGTTTATTTGTAAAAAGAGTTTGGCCTGGGTTTTTATTGATGAATCATTTCCATTTTATTGGTTATTTACGGTAATAAATATCTTATAAATGGCTGCAGATCGAGATACAGTTATTAAATGCAGTAAAATAGTTATTTTCCAGCAAATGTGGGCTTCAGGTACGCAGCCTGATGAGCTTACAGGATAATTTGACTGAACACAGGAGAGAAAAAGAGAGCCTGAGACAGAAAGTCTGATAATGAGCCATCGTTTCCTATTTTCTCAATGGTAGAGCCCGGCCTAGTGGCTTCACAGCACAGAGGACAACTCTATTTAGAGTGGAGACAGGGGAGGTTTAAACCACAAGCAGACTGCAGGGCTGACTCACTGACTAGAATAGAAGTCCACCTAAAAAAAAACAAAAAACGTGCTGTTTAAAAAAGAAATGGCTAGGGAACACAATGTGGAAAAAGAGAGAGTGAGGAATTGGAAACCGAGACATTCCTGCTGACATTGACCTCTAAGAGTGGAGCAGTTCTCAGTCTTTCCACCTTAACGTCATTAATCAAGATCTTAAAGCCCAACCATGCATGGCATGTCCCGAAAAGCATGGGAATACAGAGCGGCAGGACAATCTCATATTATGGTACATTTGTTTAAAAAAAGCTTCACCACATCAAAACAGAAATCAAAAGCAAAAACATAAAAGATGGACTTGTTTTTATTCAGAAAAGGGAAAAAAATGGTGGAAACAAAAATAGGACATATTAATCATAGCAGTTACAATAATGTCCTTTAATTTATTTTCAAAAAAAATCTTGATTCTTTTGCAACTTAAAGTGCTTTTGCATCACTTTGCAGCAACAGGTGGGGGAGGGCCAGCAGTGCTTCATTTGTGCTCTTCTAAGGCAGATAAAACTGTCCACACTCATATTATCTGACACCTCATTAAACAATTTCCACAGAACATTTTGGGAAGGTTTTGAAACCATAACATAGAAAAAACATTTTTTATAATTCTATACTAAAAACCAGTGAATGATTCCAAATAAAGACCAGAGCAGACACCAAACCGGATAGAAAATAGTTAAATCGCAATGTCACAGTTTCGGGGTATTATCTGAGTTCAATCTGTGTGTAAGTTGCAAAAGAACAGCAGCGTTTTCGATTTATCAGCCAACATGTGGTGATTGTACTGATTAAAAAGCATGCATGTCTTAAAAACATCCTGTTCTGCTTTACAGTTTGTCAAAAGCACCAAAATGTTATACTCTAAATGCACCAGGGAGCATTATCACAGATCCTTCCTCACAGCAGCTGTGAGACTCTATAATTACCACTATTTCCAACAACCTCAATAAGTTGTAACTATTGCACAATTTCTACCTTCGTCAGTTAAATTAACATGCTGCTGTCATTTTGCACATCTCTGATGCTGCTGCTATTTTCAAATATCCATCACTGTAAAACTGTCCACAGCTGCATATTGGTTATTTATTCCCCAGATACACAGTATTTATATTGTTAAAACACTTTACAGTACAGTATTTTATTTGCTTATTTTTTAAACTCTTCACTATTATTTTATTCTTGTACACTTTTCTAAGGTCCACATTTGTGTGACCATTTTTTCTTTAATCTTTTTGCTGCTGTAACACCAGAATTTCCCCATTGTGGGACAAATAAATTGATTTTTTTATTCTATTCTAATAAGACATCTATAGAACATTACCTAAAGCTTCAATATAAAATAAAATAATAAAAAATAATTGAAGTGGTTGTATTTTAAAACAGCTAGTATGACTACTTTTACCATATAAACACTGCATGTGTTGTATAGTAAAGGTTCCAGCTCTAACACTGTGCTTAATGTGATTGGTCAACCTGCAAGGCAAGTCCACTTCAGGCTAATTATCTGGATAACAGCAGCATTAGCTGCAGCCACTGACCAGGGAGAGTAAAAGCCTGGGGATACCTTACTGTTGCTGCTTAAAGGAGCCAGATCTGGCCTCAGCATGAGCAGGGTATCCTGTTAAAACTGTTGCTTCAGGCAATACTTATTTCAAACAGAGGAGTAGCCAGAAAATTTTTATAATGGTGGCCAGGCAATAACCAATGTAGACTGAGGGGGGGCCAAAAGTAGATAGGTGCGAGAACCTCAGGGTCAATCTACACTGTTCCAACAGGAAAATTAACAAGCAAAACATCCATATTTTCTAAATAAAGACAAATTATACTTTCCCACAGTCTTTGCTAACAAATAAGCGAATATAGTCAAACATCTGTGCTTTCTAGATTAAAGGTATAGTGGATAAAATTCTTTCAGCTTTGAGTTTTGGGCGAACATCTTTTCCATTGTCATTACTTACCTACTTTTATCAGTAATCATTCTGCATAAAATTGATATTTACAAATACTAATATCTACATAAATTGATTATTTTAATAAGTTTTTATTAAAATAGTTATTTATTTCACTGAAGACTCCTAGATGACTTCCAGAGACACTTCATTTTCTCTTTACTTCATATAACACAAAATCCATTTCTGCTTGAATTCTGTACTTATCATCTTTAATGTTAATATATTGATGTGCATAATTAACCACATTGTTTTGTTGTCAAGTAATTAATATATGAAAAATTAAAAATGTTTTGGGTGGTCAATGATTGGCTAAGGTTGGCCCCTGGCCCCCCATCTAGCTCCGCCCCTGATTTCAAACAGTGCTAAGGAACTACACTTTAACTACACTTTAACATTAAAGTAAATCCACCTGTATATAAGCCATCTGGATTGTACATATTTTTATTTTTTATTTCTTATTTTTTTATTTTTTTATTTCTTATTTTTATTTTGTTCTTTCATTGTGTACGATACATGTACACTTGCACCTTAATCCTTATTTATCTTGATATGCTGTATATACCTGTATATACTGTATATATATTGTTTATTCTTAGTGCACCTTTTTCCTCCTTGTTTGCACCTTCTTTAACTTCTATGCCAAAATGTGATGAGTGAACTTCTCCGCTGTGAGATCAATAAAGCTCATCTTATCTTATCTTATCTGAAAAAGGAATTTTAACCAGATAGTTGGGAATTTACCCATTAATACAATGTGGAATATTTTTATTTTTTTTCCCCCTGATTTAAGAAATAGCTTAATCTGTGTCCATTTGGGGAAAAAAAAAAAAAATGTTGCACATGAAAATAGTTGTCTTTAGTTATTTTTTTTTTAGCTTGTATGCACATTTTATTTTTCTTTATAAGGGAAATGGATGCAAATATACTATTTTCTAAAATAAATGCTCATATCTGGGTGCAGAGTTTTGTTTATAAAGCTCCAAGATGCAAAAATATAATAATAAAATTAAATTGCACTGCAGGGGGGGAAAGGCAGCACCTGTTAATTGAACACGCGAGTTAACCAGTAACTCGCCAGCTTGACTTGGTGCCTGATTGCGCAATAAAACGCACACAGACGCACAAGGTCTGAACCCCGGATGTGTGCCAGGATCTCATAAATCCACCACCCCTCTGAGGTCCGGCTCCAGGCGGAACAGCTGGAGCTTGAATTCAAACACAGATGATTTCCAGCAGGAAGAAACACAAAACTCACCTCATTAGAGAGGAAATCTCCATCGCCGAGTTCCTCCAGGTCCAACAGGTTGGTTCCTGCGGAGGAATAGAGTTTCTCCGCTGTTAAACTGTCTAAGATAGACTCCATCATGACTGCCAGTGTCTGTCTGCTACTCCTCTAAGACAGATGGACAGAAGAAGTCTTCAAATCAACTCATTAATAAAATAATAATAATGACAGTGCGGTTTGTTTTCAGCGGGGATGCGCGCCTCCTTTTGTATGGAAGCCGGTGAGGATGAACGAAGTAACTTGTCTCTGTGTCAAACGTGGAGATGTGATGATTTACTCATCATCATTTTTTCTCCTGCTCTCCTCCTCGCTGCAGCAGAGCCGCTCCAGATCATCTGCGCTCCCCTATCGGCTCGCGTGCGCTCCCAGCCACGCGCCAATGAATATTCAATACAGCCCCGCCCCTTGACGTCAGTTAAGGAGGTTTTAGGGAAATCATAATAACCATAGGCCAAAAAATATTCCAATTAATAAAGTTGACTTCACATCTTTAAACAATTCATTCAAAATTGAATATTTTAAAAGAATCTTCTAAAAAAAAACCAACTCTATATGGAATGTAGTGACATTTTGAACAAAACAAAAAAAAAAAAAAAATAAAAAAAACTTAAGAATTATAGGTGATCAAAGCAAAAGATGAATTTAATTCAAATAGCCACCTGATGCAGTTCACAAAGATCAAAAAGGGTCAAAATCCAGTCCTTTGCTTGCTTTATTCACCGTACAGGAATATTTTACGGAGAAGAAAGCATGTATATTGTTAATGTATGTTCTTTCTTTTTTTTTGCAATAAAAAAAATAATAATAATAATAACAATAACCATAGGTTTGTTACTATTTTTTTCAAATATGAATTATTTTAAAATAATGTCTGAATATTATTTCAGGAAAGCGCAGATAATAATGAAGTGAATTATTAATATTGATTAAGTTTGATTTGAAGAAAGCATGTATTTTGATGTTTCAAAAGGAAAAACCAAAAAACAATGTTTGTTGAAGAATAAAATAAAATACGCAGGCAACCTCCACTATTGAGGTGTTGGAAGAAGAGGCTGCAAACTGCTAAGCTTTAACAACAGGAGAGTCTAAAGATAGAATAGAATAGAATAGAATAGAATAGAATAGAATAGAATAGAATAGAATAGAATAGAATAGAATAGAAATATATATGTATTGTCCCATATTGGGGAAAAGATTGGCAAAACAGACACAATAAAGCTTAAGGGTACATATAAGAATAAGTAATCTGAACAAGAACAGTTTTTAAAGATCAGATTTACAGCAGTAAAGAAGAAAAAAAAATAACAATTGGCAAAGGAAATTTCCAGGTAGAAAAATTGAAGATAAAAAAAAAATGGAACACAGCAGCCGGTTTAAAGAGAGCCAGAAAACTGTGCCAAAAGCATGATTGTAGCACAAACGCTTGCAGATCAGATGAAAAACTATGCAAATAGTAATGAGCACACTATTTTCTTCAACATCTGTAAAACATGTGTTGATTGTAATAAAAACATTATAAACAATTCTTTATCATACCCAAGAACCTGTGCATCCAGTAGCATGTTTATAAATGTTCACTGGGTCTGTTTGGAGAAGCACAGATTAGAAATTCCAAAAGGAGCTGGGGGAGGAGGGATCTGCGGAAGTGCTCCTTTATGCAGCTGGATGCAGTAATCTGTCACTGAATGTGCTGGACCTGAATTTATTATGTTATTTTCCTTAAAGTCATACAGTTGTGACTCACTGGTTTGGCTTTTGGTAGGGGGGGTATTCCTATTAGCCATTTCTGGTGGGAACAAACCATCTTTATATTTTGCTGATAATGAACACTTTTAGCTAATCAGTGATTAAAATTGTATAAAAAAAAAACACTTTCTAATAAACAATGGGTAAAAAAAATCCCAATTATGCTTGTCTAAATCTTAAAAATTGACGTCTTTGTTACATTTATAATTCAGGTTTGAGTTCCAGTTCATTACGCTCTGCGAATTTTCCCCTTTTTACACAATCTAAGCTGCAAATAAACAGACGCCTCCGCCTTGTCAACATTTCTGTTGGTGAATCACCTTAAAGGTCAAACACTGATCTGAAGCAACCTAGTCTTGTTTTCACTCTGATCTTTGCTAAAACTGACCACCTGTTACTCTTATCTTACTGCTTCCAAGATGCACAAAGCTGCTGTCTGCATAACGACTCACTGGAGCATATCGGCTCCCTCTGGATTAAATAACCAATAGATGTAATCAAAAAAAATTAGATATCTGCCAACAGGACATCTATAAGTCTTAAGTTTTTTGTTATTATTCTTTTCTTAAACGAGTGGTGAGAACCAGACGTTTTGTTCACCATAGAATAGTTTGAATCTAATGATTCGTTAGAAGGGACTAGTCAAAGTACAGGCCTAAAACCAAAAAAAAGAACCTGTGGCAAGTTTTTAAACATGTCACAAAATACTATGCAAGTCATTCTCCTGAAATGTGTTGTTTTTTAACCACTTTAGCCCAAACAATGGTTTGATTCTATCATTCAGGTTTCAGCCTTATGGGGTTACAGAGCAGACGGTATCCGATTTGGTGAGTGTCGATTGTTAAAGTTGAGCCTCTTCAGGCTAGTATCGCTAATCTCAGTCTCACATGACCCCTCTTTTTCCTTTATGATCCATTTTCTCCTTCTTCAACTGTGTCTTGTTTCACCCTCCTTGTATCATTTTACGAAGGTCTCTCTCCTCAAGGGACAAGGTGTCCTTATTTTTCCCAACACACCTCAGTGTTGTATAATTGTGTGACCTTTAACAATCTGCAGTAATTCTCACCAGAATGTAATAAATTCTTTAAAAAATAGGTTGTTAAGATGCAAAAACAACAGGTACAGACTGGTTTCAGATTATCTTTATTTTCTTAAGGGTTTTATTGTAGTTGGTTTTTTTTTTACATGTATTTCTGGGAAAATACGTTCAATGTTAAGTCTTTGTTTGGTGATTGAAACCTGTTTTTCAGCATGCTTTGTACATGAAACATAACCCAACAATCCCCGAATCCATCCTATTGCTGATTCTCCACTCTTAAAACGAACAAGCATCACTGTTCAATTAATATTCATGTTAAAAAGCAAGAATACAATAATGTGACGAAAATGACAAATTAATTAAAGAGATAAAAAGCAAAATCCCAAACAAAAAATGTTGCACACCAGGAGTACCTTCAGAAGATGAATGCTCTGTGTTCATCACCTTTGCAGTAATTTTTCCTTATTGCTGATTGGAGGTTGGCTTTTACAGCTGTTTTAAGAAAAACAGATGTGTGATTCTGTAGGACAGGAGGCTGATAAAAGGGCTTAAACACCAACTGTGCACTTAAAACTTTTCCTGTCTGCAGGATTCTTTGTTCGGCTCTTAAATCATCGTGTGAGGATGTTTCTAATGACTCACTGTTATTACTTGGCTTGTATTAGTTTTGAACAATAAGCTTAAAACCTGTTATACTTATGTATAACATATGTATGCTAACATATGAAATAATCAAATATATTCTATCAAAATATCCTAAATAAATACAAAAAAAAGTATTTGTTTGTGTCTTTTGTTTAATGTTTTAAAGGTAGTAGAAATGGATTGATTAGGGGAATTAAATCCTTTGATTTCCAGAGATAAATGAGCAGGTAGTAAAATGTTCTCATGTTCTTTATGCTTGTCATTCATGAAGTTGAAGGTATTGTTCGGCAGCAAAACTTGTTTATAGGCTATCAGTTTGCATTTTACCAGCAGATATTAACTGACTCTGAAGGCTGAGTGGCTTATTTGGCTTTTTTATTCCTTTTTGTTGGCTTTCCAGTGCTTTACTAAAAGCTTTAAAGGGGTCATAGAATGATTATATAGGGTATTTGGTGCTGGTCCTTAAGGTCTCTGAATAGGGTGTGTAACACTGGTTGGGCTAAAAGTGGCATATTTGCTGTTCTATATGCCCTAATGCAAGCCTGGTTAGCTGTGCGCTGATTGGTTGGTTTAAAACGAGCAAAGCTGCAGAGCAAAGACACATCATAGCAACAAGCACTCACTCACTGAAACATTGAAATTGTTGAAATGGTAGGGTGATAAGACGTCCTCTTTTTCCCTGACAAGTGCTATTTAACTGCAAAAAATAGAAACCTAAATAAGTTATTGTTTCTTAAAATAATTGCATTTTGTGTTAAACTGAGGAGGTAAGTGAGACACTTTGCCAATGGAACAAGACAATTGACATTTAAAATAAGAAAAAGTATCTGCACTGTCTTATTACAAGCGTGTATTATCTAATTATCTTATTTTAAGAGTAAACATGCTCAATCCATTGGCAAATCATCATGTTTACATAATAAAAGTAAAGGTAAACAAACTTGATTTAAGAAATTTTTACTTATTCATAGATCGTTTTTGCAGTGTTTCATACCTAAAAAAAAAAAAAAGTCCAGCGGGGAATTTCAAAATGGTCCAGGATTTTGGTCGACTACAGTGCAGCAGGTAGTCGAAACTAGTGTTGCACCGATACCGATACCAGTATCGGACGGGGCCCCGATACTGCCCTAAAATGGTGGTATCGGTATTGTCAAGTACCAACAAATAGGGCACCGATACCATTTTGAGAGCCATAAGTTTATTCAACTATTGTCACCCATTCCTGGTAGGCAATAAAAAGTTCTACTGGATTCACTTTGTATTAGATTTTTTCCTGCTTCACAAAGGTAGGCAGCAGCTTGACAAAGCCATGATGGCAATTATTTTACATTATTATGGTATCGGTATCGGCCGATACTGCAGAGCCAGGTATCTGGTATCGGTATCGGGGCCAAAAAATGGCATCGGCGCAACACTAGTCGAAACACAACGGGCACTGGAACCGAGCCGTCAGCTCCGGGGCTGTTCCAGGAACCCCAGCAGACAACAGCCCCTTGTTTCAGTAAAAGAAGTTTATTCAGCTGTCTTTACTGAAGGCAGCTGAGTAACCTGTCTTCGGTAAAATGCTTAGAGCAAATGAACAGTTGAGCATCAAACTTTGCAGGGATTTTCTCATACACGAAAATAATCCATGCTGAGTCTTCGGATCCTTGGGAAGACTGTGAAAAATGTCCCCTTTCTCGATGCAGCCTGGAACACTGTATTAATGCCTGTGGTTCTGGCTCATTTTCAAAGGAGAAACTGCCTGCTTTGTAGTTCTTGTAGAAGTAAACCCAACTGTAGGCTAAACAGCTAAACTGGTGTCTTACATCTACCTCTATTCATGTCCTTTGGCCAGTGAGCCAGTGGGCTGACCTGTACTGGTATGTTTATTTCGGGGCGTGACAAAAGTACATGCCAGAAG